CTCTGATGTTTTCATGCAGTAGTATCTTGCTCTTGGATAGCTGAGGTTTCAAGTAGGTAGGTAATACATGTTTTATGGGGAACAGTGTAATTTTTATGTTTTGGTATGCGCTTAAAACTACTTCTTCCAAGAACAACCACGTGGTGTGTTAGCAGAAATGTGTAAACAAGGGGCCTTCTTGCTAGATACTGTCCATACTATCTGTATGCTCAGACAGCACAACCCGCTGCCACAGTCTGGCCAAGCCCACCTTATCTCCATCAACTTTCCTTCCTTCATGACTTCTCCTCTTCACCACTAGACACCTTTCTGTTCTTCAACCCAGAGTGTTAGCTTTAACTATTTCCTACCCTTGATTTCATTTTTTGTACCCTGTTTCCATCCAGAACTAGTTCTAGCTTTCTCTGCTTTTTACATGCCCACTTCCATTGCTAGAGGTTTTAGTCATCTATCGGCAGTCTCTCACCTTTGCCATTTTTTCTTGGTGCTGTCATCTCTTTGTACCTCTCTGCCCTTGTCAGACTCTGTTACGCAGTCACACGCTCAAGTCTTGAGGTCAGTTTGTAGTCCTGATCTCAGTATCTGTTCTCGTTGCTTTCTGATGCTTCCTTAACTCTCCATCCATTGTTGCCTCAAATATTCCCCACACTCTCATGCCGCATCCTTGCTCTTCCTACGTTTTGCCCAAATACGCCAGTGCCATAAGTTCAAGGTGCCTTTCCTCCCTCACATCCCTCCATAGTGACACTGTGGTCATCGTCTTCTCATCGTGTCTCTTCCCTATATTCTCCTTTAGCTGATTTTTATTGCTCCATTTAGCTCTGTGTTCGTGACAAGTGGTGGCCAAGCCTTGAGGCAGCAAATACACCACATGCTACAAACCAATGTGGTATTTGTGGTGCAGAAGATGCATGTTCACATGAAGTCTAGAGCCAGACTTGTTTTCAGACTTCAAAATCTGCGTATTAATTATTGCAATGTCTTTCAAACATTTATTAATTACAATAAATACAGAATTCTGCTATCTGTGGTGGGATTTTAATGCAAGATCTTGTAACAACTTCTAAGCTTGTTTGTTATATGTTTTAGGACCAGCAGATATCTTTGATGCTTAAAGTTCAATGAGAATGTTAGCCCTTAAAAATACTAATAGGGTGATAGATGCATTTAAGAAGGTCCATATCACTTTTCTCATATTGGGGCAACATTGTTTCTGTTTAGTCTTAAGTATTTTTATCAGTATGAGTTTCCACATGACTTTCATTGTTTTAGAATTTCCTTCCTTGCTTATTTTGGCTTCTTTAATTGAAAAAAGCTTGAATTCCCAAAGCCTGGTGCTATTACCCACATGCAACTCTGGTGAACGCAGATCCTTTTCCTTGTTTATTTAACCAGTCATATCAATGGTAACGAAGTCACATTTGGCAGATCCTGAATTCCCTTCAGTCTCCCACCCTGTCTTATACAAATGCATGCGTGTTTTCTTCTTATGTAACCAGGCAAATGAATGAAAACAGATACTAACAACACTGTATTGGATCAAATTTCACCCACATAAAGTTCTGTAACTAAAATCAAAATAAGTGTTCCCTTCATGTGTTAAACTCTAACAGGTTCTTTCTGTTTAACAGACACTGTTTATCAGGAAAAGGGGACTATACTTACAAGCGAATCTAAAACTGAAAGTGAGAAGAAAAGCAAAAAATCAACTAACTGTGTAACCCCAGTCTATAGATTTTAGAACAATGTCTTTGTAGCAATGTTTTATGGGGAACAGCAGTATCTGGAGGACTACGTACATTCATACTGTGACTGACCATCTACTGCAGTTGCTGAAGACCAAGGACTCTTTTTACCCTTGAAGTATTGGTTCAAGGATATTTAGGCCCCATCTTCCCCACTGCATCAACGTATCCTCAGATATTTAAATAGTTAAGGTGGAGAAAGGTAGCAACAAACTGTTTTTCAAGTCCATTCACAGAAGGACAAGAAGAAATTGAAGTAACTAGAAACATGGAAGGTTAGGAAATTGCTATTAGAGCAAACTTTTCAAGAATAAGCCTAGCCAGGGGATGGAGACATTACCAGAGGAGAGGCAGAATCTTCCTCAATGGTAATTTTAAAGGAAGAGGTAAAGGTCTGGGGGAGGTAGGTTAGCTTTCCTTACTGAGCATCAGAGTAAGGAGACGGTCTAGATGACCTTCTTCCTGGTGCATTTCTGTGGGATCTGTGACGTTTATAGCACCGGTTTAGCTCCATTCTTTTTGAAGTTTGTTGTTTCTGGTTCTGACACATGCAAGCCAGGAGCTATTCAATTCAGTGGAGTTACTTAATCATCACACACATTAAAATGGTTTGACCAAAGTGAGCGAAAAGCAAGAATTGCCACTTGTACTGAATAATAGCTATTTGTCATCTTTAATAGCTGCTGTATAGTTCATGGAGATAAAAGGCTAAGAAAACTGTAATTTCTTTTCATTTTTAGAATTTTAAATATGGCCCAACATGCAGTTACTGAGTGTGTGCGATGGAGGCTGTGGTCTGCAACAGATACTGTTCTGCCCCCTTGGAAGGGGCAAAGTGGGGTTGACCCAAGCCACGAAATCCCTTTCTTTTAGCAACCTGGTTTACAGCATCTGCATGCTGAGACAAGCGAACTAGAATGGCTGGATGGAAGAAAAACGAACCAGGATTTTTCTGGAGTTTATTATGCCCTGTAATTTTTTTGAAAAGGAGATTTGTGGAAGTGATTGTTCCTGCTCCACTTGCAAGTCCTGATTTACCAGCTGCGCTGGTCAAGTGCTGCCTTTTTAGCACGCTCCGATAGACATATATTGTGCTTGATGACCAAGGCTCTGGCTCTGCTTTCTGGATATTCTGGTCCCCTATGTCTAACATATCTTCGAACATGCTTGCAGTTCAGCATGACAGAGAATTGCAGCCAAGGTGGGAACTAGGAAAGAGATACTGCCCACAATGTTACTTCTACCAATGTCTCTACTTTCCCTGACACTCAAGGGGACAATCACTGTCTGTGGGTCTTCTCAGGACTTGATCCTCATCTGCAGCCTGGACCCTGCAGAAGGTGGAAATGCTTTCCCTGCAGCCACCAATGGGACCAGGATACCAAAGTGATCTCGGCCCCTGGCAGGCTCTCGGGGAAGGCAAGTAGTCCAATATGATGCCCTGTTGCTCTTTACTGAAGACTAGTGCACATATTTCTAAGGAAGTAACTGCCCTTCATTTTCTTAATATCATCTTTTATAAACTCTTTAAATCTAATATAAGAGCTGTGATATCCAACGGTACGTAACTGTGGATTAAAAGGCATTGGAACAAATGTTTTTGTTTGCTTCCTGAAAGATCCCAGTCTATGTGATTTTCTTGATACATGTATTCTTATGTATGTATACAAAAATACATACAAATACTAAATGAGTACTGAATAAAAAAAAAAACCAACAACAGAAGAGAGGAGGGAGCATTCCAAGTAGCCCTGATCAATTTGATACCAACCCTTCATATTTCTTAATATTGGACAGGGTGCTCAGCCTCTGGCTGTGCTCCTGGGAGCCTGTGGCCTGCCTGTTCAGCCAGGTACACTGACTGCATCTCTGCCATCCTCTGAGCAGCACAGTGAGCCTGCAAAGGACTATTCTGTGCTTTTTGCAGCCTTTTCTGGCCATGTTCAAGAATTTCTTATTTTTTCTACTGCAGCCCTCCTCAGAAACTCAGAGAGGTCCCTTAACCCCGCAGATAATTTTAGATCTCTGATCTGCCACAGGCCTTGGCAGAGGAAGTGCTTTGCCATCTGGTAGCCTGTCATACCTGAAGAGCACTTTTCCTGTGTCTAGAATGAGGAGTTATTTTTTATGCCGGTTCTGACGTCAGCCATGGATACTCTTGGAGTATTTCCAGGTTTCATAAATGTCATTGTATCTTCTCCCCATTTTTTTTTTTTTCCTATTTTGTTTCTGTGCTTATGTCACTCTGCTTTCCACCGGGTTGGAAACGGAGAACATGTCTCGGAATACCCCACGCAAGACTCCTGTTTCCAGATTTACTGTCCCTGGCCATCCTTGGAGCACTGTCACCCCACTACAGTGAGCAAATGGGAGCTCTATCAGACACTGTAATGAGCACACAGGGACACTGGTGTCCCTACAGCAGCACGGCAGAGCACTACATCAGGTGAGTTACGTACCAGTTCAGAGCCTGAACTGGTAAAAGCTTTTGTTTCCAGCTTCAGTGGTGTCATTTTTATCTATCTGGATTTTAAGGGTAGTGCATTTCAGTTTGAATGACAGACGCTTTAATACATAGCCTATGGTGCAGCTTTCACTCCTGTGGGAATAAGAGTAATGGTGTGAGCGAACAGGAGGTCAGCTTTTATGTCTGCTGCAGCCTTCCTGAATGACCTTGGACAAGCCCTTTGATCTGTTGATGCCTCAGTCTGCCTTGCTGTGTAGATGAGAGAGGAAGGAGAAAACCCCTTGCAGCCCTTGCTCTTGCACAGTCAGAGAAGATGCTCCCTTGTGCAGAGATCGGCTTCTGCTGTGTTTGGACATAATGAAGGTCTGATCTCAGCAAGCTCTAGCAACAACTTGCTGTAAATAATACTAACAATGCTAAAGCTATGTATACTTTGTAATAAGGCAACATCTGTGTGTGTTTAGATAAGCTGCAAGCAGCAATACTTGGGCTTTGCACCAGCTGCTGTGATCATAGTGTGGCTGTCTGCTGGTTTGTGTCTGTCACGGTAGGGACGGGTGCGAACACCACTCTGCAGGCACTGTGATCTCCATATTTAGTGTCTGCTTTTGGCACTCGCATCTCTTTCATTTATGAATGAGTGGGTGAGGGAGGAGAGGGCTGGGCTGGGCTGACTCCTCAGTTGAACCATAAAGAGCACAGGAGCTGAAACACAATCTCCTCCGCCTCCTCCTTCCCTGTGCTGTTTCACCGGCAGCCTCGCTCACAGCTGCGAGGAGGAGAGCCTTACCAGCAGCCTGAGCAGGGGCTGGGAGAAGGGAAGTCTTGTGCTCTTCATACTGCAGGGAAAGCCTCTTTGCATAAACTCTGCTCACAGGTGAGTTTCATGTTTTATCTATTCATTCTTAAAAGCAAGTTAATTTTCCATGATTGAGCTGGGTTATACAAGGTTATGACCCCTGGAAAGGTGGCAGGACAGTTTTCTGGCTAGGCTGTTAAAGCAAAGCAATGAGGCAGTCCAAGTACTCAACAAAAGCAATGTGTCCACAAAATTTTCACAACTTCAAAATTAATTTCCTAGGCAAATTTCCCCTAGTGGGAACTTTGATTTAAAGTTCTTCGAAAAAACCTTTCTGGAATTCCACTTAGGCGCAAGAGTGCTGAGTGCTGAAGTTGTATTGATAAAAGGGAATGGTTTCATGTTTGCAGCAGGAAACCAGAGCAACAGCCGGTAGATAAATTCCAGTAGTTGTTTTCAGAGAACTTAGTAGGACAGTATAAGTTGACTAGATATAAACTAATGTGTATGACTAATAAGAGATTTAAATACTTCATTTCACCTAAGAACATGAGCCAGAAGTTACGCCTAACAGGAAACCAGGAAACTGCTCAACTCTACATAGCTTTGTTTGTGGGTGCTCTGTGTACACCCGTACAGATTTGTCTTTATATCTTAGAAGTATGTCACTACTATATTTTCCAAACAGTAAGCCACTTTTCTTCCCTCTGCCTTAAGAAACTTGAAATTGAAAGTTTGTTTAGAGAAATGAAATCTATTTAGTCAGAAATGAATCTTTTTTTAAGAGGATTAAAAACCTTTGTTCATTATCGTAGGTTGCCTGTGTTGTAAGTACATTTTTCTGGTTCTTGACAGTCTTTACAAAGAAACAAGAAAAGTAAATCACTGACTGATCAGCTTCATGTGTGCATGGGGAGGGGAGCTGAGAAATAGAGAATTTGGAAGAATATGAGAGCCTCGTCCTGTCCTTTTCTGTTCAGAAAACATGCAGATATTTATTAAAAAATATTAAGGAAACTTAACAGTGAGGCAAGCAAAAATAGCTACACACTGGCTCATAAGATGTGACACAGTCATTGTGGGCATTATGGGACTTTCTGAGCAGTCTGTTAATCAGCTCCCTCCGTGACTTTTTCCACATTAGCACCCCGTGCTCACACTGGCTCTGAAGAGTACAGTGTCTGACCACTACTTCTTTCAAGTTTGCTTTAATCGAGAAGCCAGTAGAAGTGAGTCAGTCGTGTGTATTTAACAGCCACTTCACCATCCCTCTTCTGAGGAAACAATATTTTTTACTGTCCTTACCCCTATCCTTCCTGCCTTGCCATCTTATTGCTAGTATGTTGTCATTCCCCCAAATCATGCGGCTTCTACATGTGCAGTTGTAAGGTCTTTCTGTTATATGAGGAAAGATGCAGAAGGCAGTTGTTTCCAGTTCATTTTACGCTTGGTACTAGACAGCTATAATTTAGACGATAACGTAGAAGGTACATCCCCAAAGTTTTAAGAGTCTTCTCATGGTCTGGGGAGTACACAGTGAGAAAATGTTGGACTGATAGGGTCAAACCAGTGTGTTACTCTGTGATAGTGGGGCAAAGCCCAACGGGGGATGACAATGTCTACATCACAGCATTGTGATTTGAATATTGGTTTTAAATGAAGAAAGTTGTGGTGATTCCAATATCTCACTAACAAACTCATCTCACTTTACATCTGCAGTGAGATGTATTTATCTCACTTTGTGGCTGGTGGAAAAAACTTGACTCCCTTTGTTCTGGGACCTGAGGAGTGTAAGCAATAATAGACAACGGGAAAACAGAAGGGAGATGTGGGGAGAGAAGGGAGAAAAATGAGTCCCAGCGGAGCTAGGGGTTACATAGTTGTCATCATACTAGTTGTCATTGAATAGGGTGAGCCTGGGGGGTGGCTGGCTCCTGAGGTCAGACAGGCTGGAAACTTCTTAGCTGTGGCTGAGCACAGTTGTACGGGGCCAGGTGTACAAAGATGTGGGCAGTCATGTAAGTTTTCCTCCCCTAATGAGCCCTGTGGATGTTGTCACTTAGATTAACCAGCTGATGCTGTAACTGCAAGTTTTCTTGGCATCCCATTGAACAGTACATAGAGAAAAAAATTTTTACTGCCAGTTTTTCTACACCTGACCTGAGGGTGCATGCGTGTTGCCCTGGGGCTTCCCTCTCACTGACTATTCCTGTGTCAGGGTTGTGATACCCGAAGAAGTAGTTATTTTGGACTTACAAGTACATCTACACAACTTGCTAATTATTTTAAGTAAAGACCTGTGGAAAGAGAACCCCAGATGTGGCAGCCTTGTGAGGCTCACTACTTTATACTTAGCTGAAAGTCTCCTCGAAGAGGTTTGTTTTTCCTATAAAGCTTATTCTGAGTGGCTTTTAATGTTTGTTATGAATTATTCTGCCAACTAAAGCATTTGCAGAGCTGCTGTCCCTGACAGCTGATGGCAATTGGTTTTGAAAACACACAGAACAGCTTTAATGTTTAGAAGAAACTGGCCAATAATTTGAAGTAAAGGTATTAGTAATAAGCTACAGCTAAGAACAACATTGCAGTTTATTCTCTGAGGGATGCATCCACTGTAATTCCTTTTTCCCCACTGAAAAACACACTCTGAACTCTGTTAATCTACTGGGTAACAACAGAAGAACTTTTTAGGCACTTGTCCAGAACCTGCAGCTAATCTGTCTGAAAAAGAAAAAAAAGACTAAATAATGGGTTTAAAACAATCTGTTAGAGGGAGGCTGAGAAACGAGCTCACCTGAAAGTATACTCTGTTCCTCCCCATGGAGCCCTCTTGCCAGAAATTGTTTCTGTGGCAACAAATCTGTTACCAGCTGGGTTGTCTTGGAGTTTGTTATGGGGTTGCTTATGCTCAGATCTGTCACCATGCCAGAGATGAACAGAAATGGAAAACTGATCTGGCGAACAGGTAATGGAGAGGGCACTCTGCTGCCATTACTGTTGCTCCACGAGAGACATCCTCCTGATGTTCTGTACTCAGAAATTGCTATGGACAGCTATTGCTGATAGGATGAGCCTAGTCTCACATTTCTGAACATTGTTGCTTTATTCCACAAGCTTTCAAGCTTCCTTTCTCTCATGTTGTTTGCCATGGGTCGACAGTAAGGATGCATAAGCTTTGAAGAGATGTTAGACATCTAACAGAGAAAGGGGAAACCAAACCCCAATGCATTACAAAAGAAAAAGTAGTCAAACTTAAGTCTCTTTAGTGACACCTGAATAAAATGCTGAAGATGAGTGACATCAGTAGGGAAGAATGGAAACATTATTACAGAGATCTCTTGGTTTGGCTTTCTTACAACTCAAAATTTTAGCAACAATTAGAATTTGATCATTCTGTATCTGGAAACATTTTGTCTTCCATGTGCTAAAAGAAAAAGGAGAATTTTTGCTCTGTGATAGGTAACGATTTAGTGTCTACACACATCTAATTAGAGGATGTATCCGGCTTGTGCTTTACATTTAAGAAATGATCAGACATAGCTTTCAAAATAGAAATTGTCTTTTAATCTTGCAAGAGGCTTAAACTAAAATCTGTTAAACTAAAAACTCTATAATGTGAGGACATTATTATTTGGAATTCGAACTTGTGTCCAAATTTCAGAGATGGTCTTATACCTCCACCGCAGAGCAGGACCTGGATTTCTGAACAGCTCTCAAGTTTGGAATCCCACATCTACTGTGCCAGTTTTGCCATTTCCCATGCAAGATCTTGTCGCAGCTCCCCTGCAATGAGTATTTGAATGTCTCCATTTTCTCTAGTCAGGTGCATGTTGGGAAGCATGAATGGTGTACAGTAAGGTTGTTGCTTTTGCTGTGAGTTGCTTCTCTGATGCTCTGAGAGGAGTGTTTTTCATTTCTGTGAGGTCATGGTTCTTCAACTATTTTTTCAATTTTTGTGCTGAACCTCTTTTATCCAGATTAATACCATTCTTATGGGCAGGTTCTTCTTCACAGTCTTCTTTAAAAGCAGACTAGAGAAGGGTCAGTGAGTTTTCAAGCATATGGATGGCTGAGTTTGTGTCTCCAAGCAATAAGCTGGGATTTGTCTCCCAGAAGAGACGTAGCAAACCTGACAGGGCTCTGACATAGGTGAAGCAGGGAGTCGCTGATCGTACAGATGCCAGTGACATCCAAAGGGTGGGATGGAGAGGTGCTGGAAAGAACCTTTAGGCTCTTAGGCAGGACGCTGAAGTACAGAAATTCAGCAGCACTGTGCTGAGGTAGGCTTCTCACAGCATATGCAGGGCCAGACAGAGGTATAGAGAGAGACAGTTTCAAGGTATGATGAAGAAAATGGAGGAGGGAAGATGGGCTCATATACTTTGGGAAATGGGGGCACTCAGGAATAAGGGAAGGCCAGACTTTGCTTAAATCTTAATGAAAGCAAGACACTAACACTTAAAACCATGTGAGTACTAAAAGAATTTTTTTAATTAAAATTAAGGGAGTTGAGGAAATGAAAATTCAGGCAATGAAAATGTAAGCAAGCCTGCAGATACAGATGCCATCACTTTGTTTTGAATGATTTATCCATTGGGAACTAGATTGTTGGGGTCCTGTATCCTCAAGTGAAAAAATAAAGAATGGACTGAAGTTTTCAGTAGTCATCTGGGGAGCAAGAGGAACAACGAGGGAAAAAGCACAGACTAAAACCTTCTGTAAGGTGCACTGCTTCTGCATAATCATGAGAAGTCTGAGAAATAACGTTTTATAACATGCCTTACATGTGAATATTGGCATAGACTACAGGAAACTTGGTTAATCTCCAAAAGAGAAACTGCAAAAAAGGAGGAAGTTTAGTTAAAGGCAGCAAAAATGGATAGCTTAGAAGAGTTAAATCTCTACAGGCTACGTGGGGACTGTTCGAAGACATGCACAAATACATGTGCACACACAACATTCCCCTCCAATGCTGGATCCAAGGAAGAAATACAGAAATATAAAACAGAGACCAAAAAAGACTCATCTGAGTCTGAAAGGAAATGAGCACAGCTAAACAGCAGTACTTGGAAGGGTGA